GTCCCCAGTTGAAGGTGGTCCTTTTCTTCCTCATTTACTTTTGGATGTTCTTGTCCTCCATGTTTTGGGGGTTTGCCATCCTTTCTTTCTATAGGCAAGCTCTGCCCTTCCGTTATTCTCTAGGTGCTTAACTGTTAAAGGCAGCAGGATATCAGAAGAAGGTATCTTCTATTGTATTGCCATTTAGAATGAAGGTGCCTAGAGCTCTGGGCTGGCTGTAGGCCTCAGCCCTTTGGCTTACGGACCAGGTTCTGTTATATCACTCCAGAACATCTGCATCTGCTACATGAACATGCAGAAGATTATGGTGTCCCTGCAACATCAGCTGATAATGAAGCAGGGAGGTGAGATCACAGCTCCTGGCAGTGAGGGTCCCTTTGCTTTTCTGATTCCTTCAGCATTCAGGAGTCCCTGGGCATATCCATTAGCAGACAGAGCAAAGGAGGTGAAGGGATCAGGCTTTCATCAGCTCTATTTATTTACCCTATGCCTGTTAACATTTTCCTATTGTCTTACTGGCCAGAGGTTGAGTTTTGCTGAGGCTCACCCTGTTCCCATCAGTCTGACACTCCTCTTCCAAGCTTGCACTGAAATTCCATTGTTTCCACATCAGTGGCAAGATGACAGAGCTGGTTCTGCTGTAGCTTGCATGTGGGCTGTTAACGAGTATATGGAATATGAGATTTTCCAGTGCTTTAGACTTCTCATTCTGACCAATTACCAGTGTAGCTATTATGGATAATGTGTCATGGATGTGCTTGCGTCCAGGAACCACCTTGTTCTCTAGTGTCTCTCTTCATGCAGCCCTTCTCATGTGTTCACTGAAGTCTAGACTAGGCCTGTAGAGTTCTAGAGACCTGTAGAACTGGAGTTCTACAGAAAACTGCAGGCACTGATATGGCCACAGTCCATAGCTCACATCTCTCCACCTCCTGGCCCTGGAAATGGATGACTGAACCCCGGATAAACTGCTTGTTCCTAGTCACACAAATGCTCACATAATCTGTCAGAAGCTGTGCAGTACTGCAGTGCACTCAAGGATACCAGATCTTCTTGGTGAAACATGCCATTGTCTTAAATCATCTCTCTTTGTGTAGCTGAAATGCTCCTGGTAAGAGGTTTGTCTGTAACTCAGACGAAGATATCTTTCACATTTACCCATCTCTTATGTTTTTCATCACAAGCAGTGTCAAAGGAGCTGCAGAAAAAAAACGTTACAAGCCTCCAAGCTGGTGGTATTGCCATATTGCACTCCACTTGGAAGAAAAATCTTAAAACACCCCAGATACAGTATCTTCACCTGTGATGTGTTACTGCTGTATCATAAGTATTGGTAACAAGTGGCATACATCTGTCAGTTGGTAACTTATTGCAGAGCTTCAAAGCTCAATAGGAGAAAAAAAACACTTCTGAAGCGATGCACTGACAATAAAACTACACAAAACAGGATGATTTAACATCTCCCCTGCCAAAAGGCAGAGGTCCTTCTCAAACATTTACCTGGAGCCACCTTTGCTACTGATCAGACACTACACAAACTCATCCTACTAACCCCAGGGAAGAGGGAAGGACGTTTCTGCAATTGTATTTGCATATAAAAGGTTTTAATGAGCACCAGAAACAATGCAAGAAAAGGGGCAGGGTGCTGTGGCTGGGACTGGGGTGCTGGGAGCTCTTGTAGGAGCTTGGTTGCTCACAGAATTGCCCCTGTTAAAGAGCTGGTACCAGAGGTGGAGTGGGTGAAGTGCTTGTGATTTCTAGAGACAAGTCGGGGAGAAAGGTCTTTTACTAGGGAGAGGTATTTGCATTTCAAGGAAATGAAACAGTGCCTGTTAACTAGGAATAGGCAGAGTGTCACAAGCATTAAACTAAAGCAAACTGGTTTCAGGGAGGTTTAGGTTATTGAGACTCTATGGAAGAGGAGGTCAGTGGGTAGAAAATAGTAGAGAAGCATCACCACAAGGACAAACTGAACAGATGCTACCCAAGGTATTAATGTTCACAGCAAAGTGGAATCCCTGGTAGGAGGAAGGTTGCAAAATCAATTATTGTGCCAGCTGGATAAAATAGAGACCTTTCTAATTTAGCAAAGGTAATTTCAAGATAGAAGACTGCTCCCACCATGCACCTCCCTCTTCATTTGTTTGGTGGTGATTTTGGCACTTTTGGACTCCACAAGCCATTCAGCTTACTAACCTAGCAAAAGGTTCATTGGGCTCAGAACAAAAATACAGGCTGGTGAGATAACAGGATGAATGACTCTCCCGGGAGTCCAACACACCCAAAAATAGTGAAATGGAGGAGGTGGAAGCAGGAGGGAGACCATCCACTTTACAGGGGACCATTGTTAATCCATGCATCTTCTCCAGCTGCCATAGACTGTGGGCAAGACTTTATAATCATCCCCTGCCAGTCAAGACGCTGCTGAAAGGGACTTCTCTCCCCAGCCTGCTTGCTCAGTCAAAATTTACAGCTGCCTGTCCTCATAGTGTGTACTTCCATTGCCATAACCTGATAGAAGTTCAAGGTGACTGCAAAGTAGTGAACTCTCCAGACAATGGGATGGATTTACGAACATGTGGTAAGGCACCCAGCACACCTACAAGTGTAGGAGCCTCCCTGAAACTTGTGCAAATTTGAAACATTAGGAAACATGAGGAGAGAGATGTGCTTCAGAGAGCACTGGTGAGCAAGAAAGCTCTCTGCTGCATAACAAGATACTGTACCACACATCTGTACTCCAGGGGACTTGAGAGTTTGTAACACCTCTCTCTGTGGCATAGTAGATGATAGTGGACCAAATCACAACACTCTCAGAGAGTCTCACAGCAATTCCCCTCTGCCTTACATGCACTTGGGCAGAGGCTCTGCGGCTGAGCTTACATGGGACAATTAGGATTTCACTGGTGCACAAAAATGCAGAGTAAATCACAAAGTCATGAATTTAAGCCCTCATCTGTTCCCTTTAGAATATAAAGTTGTCCTAATATCTATTTCAGCTATTCTATAGTCTACTATAGATGCTGTGGAAATATAACAGAAGATTGGTGAGGATTGTAAACATGCTCAAGTGACTCGCAGCTGGGGTGTCAGAAAACACATATATCATACTAATTGTTGTTTAGCTTTGTGTGCTTGATGGATAGAATGTCTGAGTTTAGATAACAGGCCTGTGAGAAACTTAGAGGCAACTGTATTGAACACACTTGAGATTCCTGCCCTGCTGTGGGAAAGATCACGGTGGAAAACTGTGGCTGCGAAAATCCCTGATAAACATAGGTCAAATCATCAGGTTTGAGATATTTTCTTTGTTCTCTTTCCAGCTAGTAAGGACCAAGCTCCACAGTACCTGTGACCCTGCTTGCATGCTTCTCCCCAGGTGCTACTGTGGAGATCCCCCTGGTCATGAGGTAATGAGAATAAATTTACTAAATTTAATAAAGTTGCATTTCATCCGTGGATTTGTGGGTGTGCTTGTGTCCCCCCTGTGTCAGCTCACACAGCTGTGATGCCAAGAAATTGGTCTTCAATGAGGACAGCTCACATGACTCCACAGGTCTTGGGGGAAGCCAACCAGCTGACAGATACAATAGGAAAGAGATTTTGAAATGGGTAAAAACTGAACAGGCCAAGTCTATAGCTTTTCAGGACACAGTCCTTCTGACCAGGTTTATTCTCAGGGAGGTGGGGAGGGGGAAATATTAGTATTTTTGGCTCGGGTTAATCAGCCCCAGCTAAAAAGAACAAACCCTACAGACAGCGCTACATACATCCTCCACACAGCTCACTGCAACATCATCTCCCACAGACTGAGCAATGCCAGGCTATGACATACTTCACAGTGCAGCCCCTCTCTTCCAGTCAATCACACAGATGACATTTTCATTAAACAAGAGTTTTTAAGGACGTGGACTCTTTAGTAGAGTGATAGTGCTGTCATTTACTCTGCAGACAAGACGTTACCACTAGCTGCAATGTTTCTCAGGTGGAAGAGAGCAGCCCAAGGGGAGCAGCTAGTTGGGGATGTACCAGTTAACAGGAGAGAAACCGGGGCACTTTCAGACAGCCAGTCACATCGTTGTCAAAGCATTTTCCACATCAAAGGCTTTGATTTGCCTTCAGACAGGACAATTCCAGCCACTTATCCCCCCAGTCCAGCTTCACTGCAACACTTCACAGTGTAACATAACATACTGTAACACAGGGTAGCTTTTACCCATGACAGAAAATAAGCCTGTGCAGGCAGATTTACGGACATGACAGTGCAGGTGTGGGAGGAAAGGCTGTTTTCTTACCTGCCCATTCTTATTACATAAAATTCATGTACTTGTCAGAGCTTAGTGTGGTGAGGCCACACCATTTCAGTAGATCACTCTGCTGTATATTTTATGATGGATTTCTTATACTAAAAATGCAAAAGTGGCTGAACTTCTAAGAAATTAATCTTAATCCATCCTTCTTTGGAAAGGGACTTAGATAAGGAACATCAAATACTAGAGACAGAGAAAAAACACCATTGGGCAATTAAGGTCTTTGCAGAAAACAACATTCATGTGGAAGTCAGGTCTCACCTGTCTTGCTCCAGGAACTTGCACCACCACAACCGAAGTCACCGTGACTTAGAATAGTATCTTTCCTCTCACAGTTTATGGCACTAAACATCAAGTGCAACGGAAGAACCTTCAATTTTACACATACTCTGCTAGTTCAGTGGAGAGAAAGCTCCTCCCTACATGACAGTGACAGTTTTATTGAGACAAAGTTTGTGTGAACGGGTCTCTACACACATACCATTTCTTCCCAACTTTTTTTTTCAGTTTTAACTGTAAAGTTAGTACACTAAGTAGTAATGGTCATTTCTTTTAAATAAATCCAAAGAAAATGGTAAAGGTCTGTACGGGACTGCCTGCTCAAGAGCACATTCTTATTTTGGAAGAACAATGACATTTACAACCAGCCAGCATATTTTTCCTTTTTCATTATACAGTTACTGAACAGAAGAGGGAGACTGAGTAGTTTATTTGGCATTGCTGTAGAGCACTGTATAATTGGATGAATTTGGATTATGTAGACCAATACATAGTTTTAAACGCTGTTTTACACCACAAGCAGTATTGGCCATGCACATTCAACAACAGCACCAGCTCAGTCATCGTCTTTAAGTTTCTTAATCTTATACTTATGACGCTCAATTTCTTTCTGCAGACGCTCTATCTCTTTCTTGTGGTGATCGATCTCCTCCTCATGGTGCTCCCGCAAGGCCGCGAGCTGCTCCCTCTCCTTCTCCCTGCAAGAAAGCACGGCACAGAGCGCGGCGGCAGGGCCGCGGCGGCGGGTGAGGCTGGCCGGGGCCCAGCGGCAGGCCCCCCCGCCGGGCCGCCAGCCCCGCTGCGCCCCGCTCACCTGAAGTACCGCTCCTCCTCGGCCGCCTGCTTCTTCCCGAAGGCGCCCCCGGCCTCGCGGATCGCGCCGCCGCCGCCGCCGCCCTTCCCGGCACCTTTGCCCAGCTCGCCCAGCTGCGGGGAGAGACAGCGGTGAGCGCGGGAAGGAAGGACGGACGGACGGACGGACGGACAGACAGAGGAGACCCAGCCCGCCTCGCGCCCACCTGGTCGGCGCCCGATCCCGAGCTCCAGCGCTGCTGCTGCAGCACGAGCGCCCCGCGCAGCGCGCGCGCAGCCGCCGCCATGGCCACCTGCCCTTGGAGAGACGCGCCCGGTGGAGATGGGCGGGGCGGCGCGCAGCCCGTCGCGTCACGACCCGCGCGTGCGCAGCCTTCGTTCCTCCCCCCCCCCCCACACCCCCACACCCCCACATCCCCCCGCCCCACTCCAGGCCCGGTGCAGCCCGGCCTCCGCACCCCCTGCGCTTCCCTGCCCCGCGGCGCGGCGGGAGCGCAGCAGAAGCCCGCCCGGTTCCACCGGGCAGCGACGGAAGGAGGCGGGGGGGGGAAGGGGAGGTGGGGCCTGTTGCTATGGCGCGGGCAGCGGTCACGTGCCGAGGGCGCCGCCGGCCTCAGCGCCGTGCTCACGTGCGCGCGCGCGCGGCGTCACGTGGTGGCTGGCGATGGCGGCGGCGGCGGGGGAGCCCGGGGCGGGAGGTGCCGCCGAGGAGGCGTTCCTCACCTTCTACAACGAGGTACCGGCGCCTCAGCGTCGTCGGGGCGGCGGGCGGCTCTGCCCTGCCCCGCCCCTCGGGCCCTGCCCTCCCGCGGCCGGCGCTCGGCGGCCTCCCCCTCCCCGCGGCCGGGCCTGGCGGGCCGCGGGGCGCCGGGCCCGGCCCGGCCCGGCCGCCTTGAGGCTGCCCCGGGCCGCGGGCGGGCGGGCGGTGCCGGGCAGCGGGCGAGCGAACGGCCGGGGTGGGCGAGCGGTGGATGCCGACGGGGTCGTGATCGGGACGGGGGGAGCGGGCGCTCCCCGTCCCCGCTGCCCTCCGGAAAGCCCCCGCTATGGCTGGGGGAAGGAGCCAAGCCTGCAGTCCCCATCTCGCTCCCTCGGATAAACCCAGCGGGAGTTGTGCGCTCCGCGGTCTGTGAACGTGTCCCCCCGCTGTGCCCCACTGCTTGGCCTTTTCGTGGACAAACTGTCATCTGGGAAGGTGCGTGGGGCCCCTCTCGCTCAGCCTGTGCTAGTCTCCGTTACTTCGTGCGCAGCTTCGATGTGTTTAGCTGAGTCTGCCCGCAGGAAGGTAGTGCCGGTTTGGTGGATGCTTATTTCTTTAAATAAAGGTGAACGTTAAATGTGAATGCATGGCTTGGTTTGGCTTAGTACTGGAAAGAACAAAAAGCAAAGTGAACTGAACTAAACAACCTGTAGTCAGAATTAAGCGGGCTTGTATACTTGCACCGGTATCACTTAGTGTGTTTCATGGGCTATCCCGCCAACAGTGGGTTAAAAGCAGCAGTGCAGTAGGCTTCCAAGGAATCGCAATGACAGGCAGGTATAAGAGCAAAGCGAGGGGAAAAGCCACAGCTGTTGAGCAAGCTATAAGAGAGACAGGCAGAAGTTCTGTCTAGGGTTTTTTATAGTTAAAATGTAATGTTAAAAATACTGTCATGCTGTGGAGAAGGCTGAAAAATGTGCTCTGCTAGAGCTTGAATAAAATAACTACAGGCTTGGGATGAGCAAGACTTATTGTGAATTGTAGTACAGGACGAGGATGACTGGCACAGTAATCACATGGGAAAACAGGTAAGTGCATTGTGATGGTTAGTTAATATAGGTTTCTCTTGTTCTTCAGGTAAAGCAAATTGAAAAACGAGACTCTGTTTTAACATCAAAAAACCAAATTGACAGACTGACCCGACCTGGATCTTCCTATTTCAACCTGAACCCTTTTGAGGTTAGTTTGAAAGTTTTATTCTCCCTTCTGACTTGCTATACCAGCTTCCAGATTTACTGGGTATTTATTTCAGTAAAAAGACCAAACATAAAGAAAGAAAAACATTTTCTAGATGTAGATTACTATGCGGAAGGTTTACAGAAGACAGAAAGATGGTTTATGTGTACTCACTCTCTTTTTCACTCTTTTATGGCAGGCACAAACTATATTCTTATGAGACATTTCCCTTGTGCAGCAGCACTAGAAGATTTTGAAGATTAATGCTAGGTTTCTGAACGAAAACATAACAGCTACAGGTGGCATAAACGTCAGGTTCTGTTCTGAGCACTCTTGACTTGTCATTTCTGGTTGTGTTGCTTATTTTGGATGTTCCTCCCACTGAACTTGCATAGTGTATATAATGAGAGGACTTTCACTACTCATGCAAGTGAGCAATCTTTGAGGAGTCACTGGAGAACAGATAATTCCCTTGCACATGACAGTTTGATTCCAGTTTCAGTCAGTTATAAAGTCTTAACAAGTGTGAAAGCCTGAGGAAGGCAGTAAGTAAAACAATCTGGTGTTCATCTGGAGCTGTCTTTCCTTGTGTGTGTTTCTTTCTGATACCATCTTTGTCTGTGTTTTTCAAGCTGCAGGTGCTTTTTGTAGTCTCAGTTTAGGACTGGTCAGCCAGATCAGTTGGCAGATTCACCTTGACAGCGTTCGGTTCTGTGTAGATCATAGCATTTGACTTGGAGAGTAAATTAAGAAAGCCATTTAGAAGTAGACTGTAGCTTTCCTGTGAGAGAGTTTTTTATTTGCATATTCTTAGTGTCAGACCAGCGTCTGCATTGAGTAGGCTCACTTGTTGCTTATGACTTCTGTTCAGTAAATTAATTCACAAAAGAGCTCCCAAACTCTGCCACATCCCAAAAGATCAGTAGACAAGTGGACTCGTTCACGGAAACCAGACAGTAAAACTCTCCTGTGTTCTTTCAAAATTATAATGAATAAATTCATACAAAGTAATATGTTTCCTGCCCAGAGTTCTCAGTTATGAATGATCCAATGATGTCCCAAGGCCACCATATGCTTCCATTTCTGCCAAACTAAGCATTGCTACAGTACTGGTTGAAGGTTTAGACCAATTGTGGCTATTTAGGGATGGCAGCTGTCAACATGAGACTCAAGTGTGGAAAGGACATTGATATACAAAGAGGAATCTAGCATTGATAGAGGTAGAATGTCCCAAATAATGGTGTCTCTTAAAATGTTTCTGTTTTACTAGGTAAAAACTCATGTCCTGAAGCAGCTCCCTGATGGGGGGAGCTTTCTGGCGTTGTGTCTCTATGCCAGTGAACCAACTGTTTAGAGCTTGCTGCCAGGAACCTGAAACATGGGGAGTATCATCGAACTTGCTCTGCTCTCATGGTCTCTTTTAGGTACTGCAGATGGATCCTGAAGCCACAGATGAAGAGATAAAGAAAAGATTTCGGCAGGTATTTGGCTTTTGCACTTGAAGTCTCTGGAAGGAAACCAGAAGCTCTGTAGAGATTGTTCAGCTGTGCTTGGGAACAGAAAAATGGTGGTAAATCTATATCCAAGTAGAGGAGTAGACATTTGGGAAGGAATCATAGAATGGTTTGGGTTGGAAAGTACCCCAAAGACAATCTAGTTCCAAAACCCTGCCATGGGCAGGCACACCTTCCTCTAGACCAGGTTGCTCCAAGCCCCGTCCAACCTGGCTTTGAACCCTTCCAGGGAGGGGGCAGCCACATCTTCTCTGGGCAACCTGTTCTTATGTCTCACTGCATAGAACAATCTTCGTATCAACAAGTGGAGAGCTGCAGAAGTGTCCCTGGTCCATGCATGGTGTGCCTCTTTGCATGTAAAGTGTGTGATGGGGCTATTGCCAACTGATATGCCCATGTATAATGAGCTTACTGAACTTTAGTTCAAAGAGAAGGTCAAAGTTTCTCAGAAATTAAGAACTGAGAAAAGGTATTTTTCTCAAATATATAGGCTTGGATCCAGAGGTGTATTTTCTGTGACATTTCTTTAAGAATTTCAGTGTTCATTTTTTGGTGGCTGGGTTACCTGGAACAGCAGAATCCTTGCTCACCCGTCTGCATTGCCCCATGCACCACAGGAAGCATCACCCTAGACTTACTCTGCTGACAGATCTGCAGGAGAAATTTGAGTTTAATCAGTGCATGCAGGAAAGAAACAAAGTATTTGGAGAACTGTAGTCTCCCACCTGAGTTAGTGGTGTAAATGTCAAGAACTGACAGGAAAATGTGCTGGCTGACAGAGGAACATGCCTGCCAAGTTGGTGTTGGGATATGGTCTACCCCTGTATGTGGGAAGTGGGTGGATAACCTTTTGATTGGTTGCTGAATTCTCAGTTCTGCGAATCAATAAACTGGGGCTCTCTTAGCTTTAGGCTGATAGAATGCCACAGGGAAATGCTTTGAAGCCTGTGTGACAAAATAAAAAAAAATGCATGGAACTGTGTATTGAAGAAATCAAACACCAAAATACAGACTGTGGAACAGCCAACAGAAGGAAAAAGGCACTAGCTGTAGCCAATAACAAAGTAAATCAGCAGCATGCTGCTGTTTAGGACCGGAAGTAACCTTTTTCCTGTGAACTAGAAAGTGCCATCTGTAGCGTTCAGGAAATAATTATTTTGCATTCTTTTTCACTCATGCAATTTCTGTTGCCACTCTGTGACTGGTTTTGAATGTTATTCTAGGAAAGATGCAGATAAACTGGAGAGTCCATACAGCAGCAGCAAAAATAAGAGGTCTGAAAAAAAAAGAAAAAAAGCCACATGGGGAAGGTTTGAAAGAACTTTCTCTTTCTCTGGAAGAGGAAGGTGGAGAATGTTTGCTTTCCGGCCCATTTAAGGTTGCCTTGTCTCTGCTGGAGAGAGTACAGGAAGGAGTTTTCTTAACTTTCAGTAAAGGAGCCTACCCACTCTTTAAAATAGTTTTATATTTGAACAGCCTTAGTGATACTGGAGAACTTATTGGGAAACATTGTTGAGTAAAAGATAAACTTAGGTTGAGGATGATCTTTGTAGGTCTGTTTCTTTTTATGACTAAGGTTACAGAACTTGGATGACCAAGGGGTTCATATCAGCCCCAGGCACTGTAGCTGAAGGGTGTTTATATTGTTTCGTGCATCCCAAGCTGCAGCTTTTCTTAAATAGCCTACTACAGGGATTGTATTTGATTTAGAAACATTTACTGGTGCATACTTCTGCTTGTTGTCAGCTGATTTATCTGTATTTAGAAGAATGTCATCCCCTGTGATTCCATCTGAGACTATTTCGTTCCTCTCACAAAAGTCTGAAATATTAATCTTTTACAATGATCACAGCACGACCCTTTCTCTTGTAGTTGTCAATATTGGTTCATCCAGACAAAAATCAAGATGATGCAGATAGAGCCCAGAAGGCATTTGAAGGTAATGCACTCACTGCTATTTTTCTGTAGCTGATTTAAATGTTTATTAGAGCTGGAGGCCCCACCGACCGACAGAAGAATTGCTGTAGAGGCGCTTTAGATGAGGGAGAAGCAGATGTGTGGGGTGGCATTTCAGCAGAAAATTTCACTAGGTGGCAGTAATTGCATTGTCAGTTTGCAATGGGAACAAACATGTCTGTGGGGTTTCAGGGTTGTTCAAGCAAAACTGTTTAATCTGTGCCTTAAATTTTATTCAAAGACCATATGACAGAAGTAATGTGATTGTTTTAGGTGTATGCATTACGGTGAGGCATCATGCACCTTAAACTTACCTCATGCCCTACAGCTAACTCACTTGGTAGGACTGCTATCTCCAAAAGGTATCTGACAGTTTCTGCCATTACTGTACCCCAAAACTCATTTGACTAATCATGATATCACTTGCTTAGAGGTATTTAAAAAAACAAACAAACAAAAAACAACTAAACAAAACCATACAAATTATAGGAAGCAAAATCTGTATGGTCAACAAGTAGCAGTCTTGTGATGCCTTGTGTATGTGACTACTGGTGCTATTAATGTTAATGCTTTTTGTTAGCTGTAGATAAAGCGTACAAGTTGCTGCTAGATCAGGAGCAAAAGAAGAGGGCCTTGGATGTGATACAGGCAGGAAAAGAATATGTGGAACACACTGTAAGTATTCCATAGGAATGTCCAGGGGTGGGAATGAGTTCTCTGTAATTCGCTTTTTGGTACACCTGCTGCATGTTTAAGTCATTAAAAAGTGAGCTGAGCAAACCTCATAATGAAGCTGTGCAAGTAGACTCTGGGCTCTTCATGGCATGAACAAATGTGCTTTGTCCAAGACTGCTGTTGAGCTCCGTACAAGATAATTTGGTGAAACTCAGTACTTGAAATAATTAGGTCAGACCACGTGATCTGACCTAAATATTTTTTTTTCAAGTTTGTGAATGAATTATGCAGTTCAGATGCATGTAGGTGGAAGAAAATAGGTGGTGACAGCAGGAGACTGGGAGGTTTGGGGGAAAATGACCTCTAAGATAAGAAAGGGAGCTTGGATTGCGTTGGCCAAGAAATTAGTTGAGTGATGTGGGTGGACTAAAACACAACGAGCTTGAGAAAGCAGGTAATATGGGAGAACTCAGAACCAAAGAACACTTTATGTTCAGCTTGTTGTTGTTGTTTGTCTTTTGAATATTACAAAGCAAAATAAACTTCCTGCTGGTTTGGACGTTGTATATGAGATATTAATATATCTTAAAGACAAACAAGGAAAAAAAAGGGGTTGTGTTGAATGAATAGTATCTAACATAGTATTTCTAATTTACTACAGCTCATGTGTTAGTGCTCCTGTATGTGTTTATCTGGACCTAGGACCAGGAGGTTTTGGCCTAAAATAAAACATTGATCCAAATCAAGAATTTACTGTCATCCAGAGTTCTTCCCGCACAGTGTAATAGGAATGTAGAACTACTTGAATACAATTATGTAAGCCCTATAAAACTTTTTAGGCTTTTATTTTTGTTCTTAATCTTTAGGTGAAAGAAAAAAAGAAGCAGTTGAAGAAGGATGGAAAACCTCCCACTGTAGAAGAGGATGATCCTGAAGTTGTAAGTCATATACTGTTCAGAGAAACTGGGGAGTACAGAATGTGTTTCAAGTAATTAAGAGTCAAAACCAGTATGGAAGTATTTATTAGACTTGTTAGAGTGTTGTAAATACTTGCGTTTACAGAAGAACAAATTCTGATAAGCCACTGTAAGGTATCATGTGTTGGGCAATACCCGTATATATTAGAAAATAGTTTAACTGTAGTGTAAAGAGTAAATATATCGTGAGATTATATAGATCAAAATACCCAATTATTTTCTTGGAGCAAGCCTTCATTGCTTGCACATCATGCAGCCTTTTTTGAATTGAATTTCGTGTTGTATTCTGAATGCTGGAACTGTGATGTTCTTGCTGCCAGCAGAGGCATATATGGAACCCACTGCAACATGTCTAAAATGTGCTCTTAGTGACATTTCGTAGTAAGAGCTGTTTCAGATGTTTCTTCCATACCGCTCTTGAGGATAGATGTGCTCTTCTGCAACAAATCACTTTTACTTAAAAAGGCAAGACATAACTTAATTACCTGGTTTCTAATCTGAAGAAGCCAAGTGACATTAGAGGCTTTAACAGAATGATAGATGATTATCAAACACTGACATCACCTTTTTTTTTTTTCCTACAGAGTGATTTTTTTCCTCTTGATATCACCACAGTAACCCCATAACAATCTTACTGTCCCTTGATTTTCAGAAGTCTCTTGCTGTTCTTTAATAATGAAGTTTTTAACTATACTGATAATTCCTACTAGAAAGCCAGTGCTAGACTTTTACAACACATCAGGATAATCTGTTGGGAAATTACTAACAGTGACTGTTTTGCCTCTTCTTGTCAAATATAACATTGCAAGACTTAACAGAGGAATAGGAGAGCTTGAAATGAACAGTTCTGTTTAGGTATAGCTTTGTGAATACAAATGAAAACAAGACTAATATGAGGCTAGTAAGTAGTTGTTTCCTGGTGGCAAGGCCAGCATTTAATCAGCAGTGTTTTATAGCTTTTTGTATGCCACCGCTACTGACTTACTGTCAAGACAGGATACGGGGTTATGTGGGCAGACATGTGCTTTGCATTTTTTTTTTTTTATGCTTCTAACATTCTAATGTAAACCAGACTTTCCTAACTCTGTTAATGGACATTATTTTAAGACTGGATTTGTGTTTTACAGTTCAAACAAGCTGTATACAAACAGACGATGAAGCTCTTTGCAGAACTGGAAATTAAGAGGAAAGAAAGAGAAGCAAAAGAAATGCATGAAAGGTATGAGCAGAATTCTTGTGCAGTTCAGGTGCTTCTTCCCCCGTCATGCCCCCTCAGAGAAGATAAGGAATCAGAGTCTTACAAAAGTCTAAGTTGGAACGGACCTCTGGAGATCATCTGGTCCAACCTCCTGCTGAAATCTGGGCCTTGGATTAGATTAACAAGGGTCTTGTCAAGCTGACTTTCAGTGATGTAGATTCCACCAGTTCTCTGGGCAACGTGTGGTTTGTAGAACTCTGCTTGAGAAATGCGAACAGGAAACGTCCTCCCGTATTTAAAGCTTTGATATATTTGGTGTGCTTATACAGTGTTATGTGCGTACGTGGAGGCCAGCCAAAACAGTGAAATGGTGACACATTTTTGTATGTTGTTAGCATGCAAAGAAATTAATTAAGTGCCAGAAATACCCCATGGCATGTGTGATCCTGAACTATTTTAGATGCTCACTGAGTACTCACTGTGGATGCACTTCATAGAACAAGGTTTCTGAACTGTTCAGTGAGGGCAGTCTGGGAGGTGGTTGTAAGGCACTACTTTTGATTACAGATGAGGAGTGAAAAAATATAAATTCTTACCTTGAATGCTCAAGTGTTTATTAACTTCTCAAAATGCCTACTCTCAACAGTTTGAGAGACTTATCACTAGAGTTATAGAGGAGTCCAACTTGTTTTGCCAAGCAAGAGAAGCTGACTTGCTAATTAAATATGCGCATACAGTGGTGCCAAACCATATTTTCTGCTGGCTGCTCTTCCAGATCTGAAATAAAATGCTATTTGATCTGTTTTAGATGTGTGTATTTCTCTCTTCTAGTAAGTACTTTAATCTGCAAAGAAATCAGAAGAGCTTTCTGAGATGTTTTGAAAGTATTACTGTGTTTCTTTAAAGTAGATGCTTGTGGGTTTATAACTTCTTTGTGGCTTCCCTTCCAGGAAGAGGCAGAGGGAAGAGGAAATTGAGGCACAAGAGAAAGCTAAACGGGAACGAGAATGGCAGAAGAACTTTGAGGTAATCGGCAGCTTAATTTACAGGATGGGCCTCAGCAATTCTTGGCCATGCTGCAGGGAATGTCCCTGGAGAGAAGAGACTTTTTGTCTGCAGGTGCTGTAAGATAATTTAAGTACACAGTTAGTAAAAGATCCTGTACAAGCCTGGGTTTTGTCCTTGTTTGAGGAGAAGAGCCCACCAATGGGGCTTTGGTATCACTTTTCAGAAACAGGTCTGGTAGATGAAGGTGTAGGATTTTTCAGCTCTGTCAGCAGTTCATTCTTGTTCCTAGTCAGAAATCTGAATTGCTGCTTAGCCCAGGTCACTGGTGACCAGTAAAACTTAATCTGGCAGCTGTTCAAACACAAGTGTGGACTGTTGTTTGTACTTTTCATTCTGATCGCTAACACTTAGAGAATCTGTCTCCCCCATGAATATCAGAGACCTGAAGAACAGTCACTTCCCTTTGACCCTTCCACCCTGTATTCAGGGTTTAGGTGTATCAAAAGTAGCTTTGTGGTGGTTGTGCTGCTGTTCTAGAGTTCAAACCTACAGTCTGCCAAAATACTTGATTGAGCCTGTAACTCTTCCCTCACTGCACATCAGAGGTGAAGTCTTGTGATATGTGAGGGGTGGTGGGCAGGAAAGAAGTCACTAATGGTGTGCAAGGCCTCGTGAAAACATGAGCTAGATTGTTCATTTAATCAAAAGATGGATCCCAGTCTGTGCTCAAGAGGACTTTAAAAAAGAGAGTGTCTGGGAGAGAAGTGTATGAGCTAAACTGGCATCCTGTGGAAAGTGGACTAGGATGTTTCTGGAGACTCGGTGTGAGTTTGTGTTCGTGTGCTGTATAAGATGGATGTAGGAAGCCTGATACTCTGGAAAACTTGTGTAATGCTGTGTTGAATGCGGTATGGGTTTTGTCATGTAATGCCAGAGAGATGAGTATGTTACTGGTCTTGCTGCTGACAGAAGTTCTGTGTTCTCACGCCAGAATGGCCACGGAAGTTGGGTGTCACTGCTGTAGGGATGTAGTAAAGCTGAGGAAACGTGAGCAAGTATTACAAGCAAATAATGTAAGGATGGACCAAACAAAGGGAGCTGCAGAAGTACTGATATTGCAGCTCTGAATACCTGCATGTCCTCAACTACTCCTGGACAGCTGAACCTCTGCACTTGCAGGTGTCTTCTCCAGCCTTGCTGGTGACCATTTAATCTATGTGAAAAGCTAGGTGTTAATGTCCAAAATAGATTACTGGAATACACAAGAATAAGAAGCTTATTTCTGCTACTGACTATCATTAAGAGAGCGTGATTGGATACAAAATAAAACATAAATTCTTGCCTGCTCCTGTATGTGTACTAATTCAGTGGCTGCCTTTAAAATATATCCAAAAGGAGTATGTATGTTGCTGTTTTGAATTATATTTCAACTGTAAGGGAAAGAAAAACTTAAGTTGATATTCTGCAATTGTGGTTCTGTCTCGGTGTCAAAAAAAAAAAAAAAGCCAGATGCAACACGAAAATCCCAACCTATAAAGGCGCTTGTGTTGTACCTCTGCACTGCTCTTCTGGACTTTCCTGCTCCTGATGATTTCAGACTTTGTCTGCATACTGCATCCTAGTTCTGATCCTGTCTCTTTACCCTATGTACCTTTAGGTTTTGTCCCTCCTGTATGTTCTGCAATATTTCTGAATCCTCATAGGAGTATCTGTGCCATCCAAGTGGTTGCCTGCTGTTTCTAGAAGCTATTCATGGGCTGCTTTCAGAGCTGAATTATATCTTGCGATATTTTAGAAGGAGCAGGTCGGAACATCTACTTTCTCCCGCCCCACCCTCAAAATTCAATTTCTTAGTAATTTCAAGAGTAGCTTCTACCAACAAACTGTAAGAAACCAGAAGATTAGAATAGAAGTTGGCATACAGCCTTATACCTAGCAAAAGTGTGATCACAGAATGGTTGATATTGAAAGGGACCTCTGTGTCCATCTGGTCCGACTCCTCTGCTCAAGCAGAGCCATCTAGAGCTAGTTGCCCATGATCATGTCCAGATGGCTTTTGAATATCCTCAACGATAGAGACTCCACAACCTCTCTGGACAACCTGTTCCAGTGCTTGATCACCCTCAATGAAAACATGTTTCCAGATGTTCAGATGGAGCCTCCTGTGTTTCAGTTTGTGCCCATGGCCTCTGGTCCTGCATTGGACATAGATCCTGACTTAGTCCTTCCACCATCCTTCAGATACTTGTACACATTGATGAGATCCCCCCTGAGCCTTGTCTTCTCCAGGCTGAACATTCCCAGCTCTCTCAGCCTTGTCTTGAATGAAGAATGCTCCAGTCCTTTAGTCATCTTTGTTGGACTCTCTCCACCATGTCCGTGTCCCTCTTGTACTGGGCAGCCCAGGACTGGACACAGCACTCCAGGTGTGGCCTCACCAGTGCTGAGCAGAGGGGAAGGATCCCCTCCCTCGCCCTGCTGGCAGCCCTTTGCCTAATGCAGCCCAGGACACCGTTCACCGTCTTTGCAGCAAGGGCACGTTGCTGGCTCACATTCAACCTGGTGTCCACCAGGATGCCCAGGTTGTTTTCTGCCAAGCTGTTTTCCAGCCAGGCAGCCCCCAGCATGTGCCGGTACCTGGGGTTATTCCTTCCCAGAGGCAGGGCTTTGCACTTCTTGTTTAACTGTCAGCCCGTTCCTCCAGCCTGCCAAGGTCCCTCTGGATGGCAGCATGACCCTCCGGCCTATCAGCCTCTCCTCCCAGTTTTGTGTCATCTGCAAACTTGCCGAGGGTGCACTCTGTCCCAGATCACTGCAAGTGCTTGGCCTTTCCCCATCCTGCCATGGAGAAGGAGAGTGAAGCAGACAGTTATTATAGCCAGAGCCTGTGTGCAGCACCTGTATTGCAGGCACAGTTACGGTCAGATGGACCTTGAGTGTATGGATCCCACACTGTGAAATGGATCATCCCTGGGCTTGTTCTGTGTTACTGTGTGAAACCTTCAGCCTGTAGGGATCATAGGTTGGCTTTGTAGGGAGTAATTTTTGCTTGTTTGTTTGTTCTTTCCAGGAGGGGTTTCTGCTACTCTGCTGGTAGGCCAGGGAGAGGAGAAAAGAGTGCACCAGAGACCTTTTCTCATTGTGCCTTTGTGATGGAGCTTGGGGCAAGAGACATGAAAGAGGACAGCAGTATGTTTCTTTTCTCTCTTTTCCATGCCTCCAAGCTGCGGCACAAGGAGAGCCATCTCAAGGATGTGAGACAGAGTAAGGAAATGTCAGGTTCTGGGCTGAAAGATTAGGAGGAACATCCATTGGAGATGAGATTTCTTCTTTCCTTTGCACATCAGAGGATTCGGTAGGCTCTAAGTCAGGACTTAACATCCCAAACTGCCTGCTTCTGAAACAAGAAACCAGCATAGTGCTTACACTGGTTTTATTAATGTTTGTAAGCTCACCTGTAGTTCCCCTGTGCTGTGTCTGTTGCTCTGGCTCTTCACAGTGTCTGTATGTGCTGACTGCCAGGGTATTACATGCTGGATAAGGGGAAAATTGCTATTGATCTCTTGAAACGGGTATGTTCTGCCTGTTCTCTGGCTCTTGCACTTCTTAACTCTCAGTTTCCTCTCTGTTGTTCCCAGGAAAGTCGGGATGGTCGTGTGGACAGCTGGAGAAATTTCCAAGCAAATACAAAGGGGAAGAAAGAAAAGAAGAACAGGACCTTCCTGAGACCTCCCAAAGTAAAAATGGAGCAGCGTGAATGATCCTCACAGCACCGCCCAAGTGCAGCTCCTCAGTCCCCTCCCTGCTTTTAAGGACTCATTGGCACCTAGAGTAAGAATTGCTTTTTAGTAGACTGTTTGTTTCCAGTACAATTAATTATTGGTCAAAGTATTTTTTGTACTCTGTCCATTTGAACTAGGGCCATAGTACGAACTCAGCCAGGAACCCACCACATGTAGAACACTTGGCTTAGGAGGGTCCCCGCCATTATTGCTGTCCTGTTTGTCTGCTGCCCTGTAACTTGATGTTTTGTACTTCACAGAGATTGTGCTGTTTCACCACTTTTGTTTCTAGTTTGAGAGCTGAACAAAATACTGGAAATGTATCTGTACCTTTCCAGGTATCATCTTTCTCAGCAAGTTCAGCTTTGGAAAGGTCCGAACTGACTCTGGGAATCTGTTTCCAGCACTGTGCAGTGCAGCTGACCTGCAGTTAAAGTCCTGCAGCTCCTCGCTGACCTGAGGTGTGCTTAGAAAGGACCCTTCCCCAAGATCTGATTTCCAAACTAAAATCCCAGCTCTCAGGCTTAGACTTCTGTTAATCTCAGACCAGCTGGTCACTTCCTGTAAAGGAAAAATAACTTCTCTTGATTAATAGTTAAGTTGCGATGGTCTGTATGTAAAATAAATTTTTACCCAACTTAACAGGGTTTTTATTTCTTGGAATTATTCAAAGATACAATTAGAAGGGTGTGAGTTGAGTGCTGGCCACTGAAATGTTGCTGCTTTTCAGCATGAACACTTTCCCTGGTAAGGGTCTGCTGTCATCCCAAAGTCTGTTCTGACTTGAGTTTCAAGTGACAGTCCTGCAGTGTGGCACCAAGGAGGACAGGGAGAGGGTATCTTTTCCCTGGATGCTGCCTGGGTGGATGCAAGTGTGCCAGAGTCTGAAAACTGAGCTTGTTGCTGTGCCTTTGGGGAGCATGGATGGTTTGGGAGGACTTGGGCACCTGTTAGGAGTGTAACTCCTCAGAGCTATGGGATGAGCTCAAACCCAGGAGTTTTGATTTTTAAAATCCTACTTTGTGTGTGTATTTCAAGTTTTCAAGAGACTCTCAACTGTTTAAAGGTGTTCAAAATGGACTGTACTACAGATTCACGTGTGGCTGGCAGACTCCTGGAGACCTTTACGCAAACTCTTCCCGTCTGTCCTGATGGCCATCCCTGGACTTGGGTCCTCTGGGTACCAGCCTCCGTGGAGATACCACTTTTCTTCCTCCTCACTGCCACTAGCCAGCTAGCTCCTTTCACTTGGAGTTGCTGTCTTATGTGCCCTCATCTTCAAATGAGTGCAGTCCTTTGTGCTGCTCTTTGTGTCTTGGGCACTGGTGAGGCCTCTCTTCAGAAAGATTGATTCTGCTGCCCCTGAAGAGATGCCTCCATCTCCTAGTGTCTCAGCTCTTTAAGTTTTGATTAATTGCCTTCTACTTCTGCCTGCTAGGGAGGAGTGACATGATCGAGTTGTGTTACCAAACAAATTTTTACAGGAAAAGCAGCTCCCAAGGAAGTTAGTACTTTCTGACAGGACCTAGGACTTAAATGAATCTGCTGAAAGGTGGCTGGTGCTCTCCATTCACCTTCATTTCTTCTTTTCCTCTCATGCACTGGTCTATGTGGCCAGATGTAAGGTGAGACATCCTTCCCTAATAAAACCAAGGTATTTTGGGTTTTTTGTACATTTACCAGCTCTTGGAACAGTAGAATACAATTCCCATTTTCTGTGTAAACACAGGAGTACAGTTTATTTACCTTATTTGTCCTGGTAGGTATAACCTGCTAGATAGATAGCTTGAGCTGAATGTTGAGGGGCAAAACACAGCTTAAAAAATAACACATCAGTGATGTCTGGGTGGCACACGAGAGCCAAACAATAACCAGCAGCAGTCTAAGGTGGGCTGGCAGGTCTGGGAGACACTGGACTGTGCAGCATTGCTCTGTTCAGGTGCTGAAATTCCTTTTTGTTCACAGAGCATGATCCTTCATTAACTGGGAGCATGTTGGTAGGACACCACTTCCTTGTCAAGGCAATGATAAGCCACATTTATTCTGGGGAAAATGTCAGTTAACGTTTGCGGTGCTCTCTCAGATGCAATCTCTTCTGCTTCCTGGGTGTAAGAAACGAGCAGTGCTGGGCAGTAGCTCAGATGATTAGATTATTTCTAAATGCAGTCTCTTGCCCAGAGGACATGCTGTCCCTCTAATTTGCCTGTCTCTTGTTCCTCTGGAGAAGTATTTCTAGATTAAGACGTCTGTCCCAGTCACTTTTGTCCCAAAGTCTTTCCTTTTGATATTAACATGCTGGTCTTTCTAGGAGCATTTCCTTTCAGATGGTATAATGTCTTTGCTGTCCTTTCAGATCTTTTCTTTACATCTTTTTCAGGCAGCTCAGGATGAGTCCTGTGAGAACTTTAAATGTTCATAAGACCCATGTTATGCTTCTGATTCTGCTCCTTAGAGATGTATATGTTTGTGAGAATATGACCGGTGGAGTGGCTTACCACTGGGTCTCCAGGAGTGCTGCCTGTGACCAAAGTCACCAAAGTACTAGTCCTACAGGCTTCTGTAGTTAGTAACTTTTTCCACTGTGTATGACTTGGTTGGGGCAGCAAAATGTGTAGCTTATAACAATACTGTTTCATTCTCAATTTAGCTGTTCCTGTTTCCTTTTCTTCCTGCCCTGCCTATGATATGCTTCTGTGTCTGAATATGCAGTATTTCTTCTGTCTTATCTACTCAGCCAAGTCCTGTGAAGCTTCCCATCTGCCAGGCAGGCTTTAGCAGCAGCGAAATACCTGTCCCTTTGGTAGATATTCCTCTGCTCCACTGGAGGGAACCTGGGAGGTTCATTTTGATCCTTGTATTCAGGCTTTGTAAAAGCAAACTGTTTTGAATTGCCTGGGTGGAAACAAGTGAATGCAAAACATGTACCCCCACAGATGCAGGCTGGACTGTTGCCTGGCCTCTGCAACCAATGCCAAGGTGGTGGAATGGACTGAATGAAATATTGTTTAATTTCAAGAGGTAGAGATGTTGTAGAGGGAGAGACCTCTAAGTCTCCTTCCTCCTTGTAGCTCTTCTTGAGTCAGTAGTCTTCATAGACTCATACTCAATATGCAGGACAAGAAAATACACCGGTGGGAGTAATTTTTTTTTCTTTTGGAAGGAGAAAAGGTTGCTATAGAAACACCTTTCAGTAGGGTCTTGACTTTGGTTTTCTGTGGAAATAACTTGTCCTCTGTGTTCAGTTCCCACAGAATGTTCATGGGTGTATACCAGAGTCCAGCTCAATTCCTTGCTGCTTTCTGGGAGTCCAGAGATCACTCCTGACGCTCTTGGTTCCCTTCTGAGGCAGGGAGGTTGCCTTCCCCTTCATATGCAATTTGCAAGGGTGTATCCTGTTCAGCAATAGTGGCATGAGAAAGGACCTTTGCAAGTTACTGGGTTTCTTGTTTCTGAAGAAAACTGCAACAGAAGAAAACCAAAGGGAAACTGCAACAGAAACCTACTCAGTTGTGGATTAAAGAGGACAGGGTGTAGGACCTTCCTGTCTGGTGCTACTGTTAGTCTAGGGATGAGAATGGAGGATCCCCTGAGCCTGTAGACAGGCCTAGGTCTAAATTTCACCAGATGTTCATCAGATTAGCTAAATTTCACTGGGTAGAAAAGCTAATCAGTAAAGGCTAGACCAAGTTACCGCAGCTATAGAAAGCCTGGGTGATCAGCCAGAGGTGAAATCTATTCTTGATGAGACACAAACCACTGTGTAGTTTGTCAGACACAGCGATGTGCTCTAAATTAACTGTCCACCCCTTCTTCCTGGCCACTAACAACTCATGCTGTATGCAATCTGTATTTCGGGAGCGTAATTAGTTCTAGAGTATTAACTACAGTCAGTGTAGTGTTGGATGGAGGGACCCAGATGGGGAGACATCAAGGGCATGTGTTCTCCTTTTCTTCCAGATGAGAGTTTCTTTTGTTAGTCTGCCCTCTTAAAACAACTGAAACTGGAGAAAAACTGTGAGACGTTGGCCTTAATGTAGGAAGTTTCCCTCAGAAAGCGTTGGGTGATTGCAGTGTGTTATCTAGAGCAAATGGACTGTCTTGACTTCCTTTTCCTCTTGCACACTGCAGTGCGAGCAGGACCCTCTCTGCTTCGGAAGTTTAGGCCTACAATTCACAAGCAGAAAGAGGGCATCGTCCCTTGTCTTGTGCACCAGCACAGGGTGCCCAGGCCTGACAGTGTGCAGCTGGGTTTGAAACCTCATTTTTTTTTCCAGAACTCCTGCTGGCAGGGTACCTCCTGCTGCTGGGGGCTCCCCTGCCTTCAGCTGTGGGTGTAACTCCTTTTGCTCCTTGCAAGATGAAGCTCTCATAGCCCCGGCTTCGTGTTGTGCATGAAATGGGCAGGTGTTTGGGAGTGCTGCACCCCTAGGCTGGAGTGCCATCCTTCCCGCTCCGATCCCAGCGCTGCAGTGAGCACCATGCACGCTTTTGGTAGATGCAGGATGTAGCTGAGGGCCTGACTCACTCTTGATGCTCAGCAGCCTTCCTACTAGGAAGCCCCCCTTTCACACCGGCTGGGGGGCTTTGGACTCCCAGGGCAAGAATGGAGACGTACTTCGGGGCAGTTAGGTCTTTCATTTGTAGCCAGAGATCTCTGCCTCAGAATATTCATTGCCATTAAAATGGACTCTCCTGTGTTACTGGCTTCTTTGGGTTCCTGCGTCATTCATAACGCCTTTCTGGGTTATTCAGTTGTCCTGCAGCAAGAGGGAAGTCCAGTAGCATTGATATTAAGGTGCAAAGTCCCCTGCTTCGCAGCCACTGCCGGATTCTCATTGAAGCAAACAAAGACGTAACCTGAAAAAAATCGATGGGATTTGTGTGTCACCCATTGTCTTGGATCTGGTCAAATTGCTTCCTTTTCAAATGCTGTCAGGCCCTGTCTGGGCACTTCTGTAACAGTTTTTCTGGGCAGAATGGTGTCTGCAGGAATGCATTTTGATGACACGGAGAGTGCCTATAAAGGAGAATAACACTGGCACACATGCCAGTGCAGTTGTTGCAGTTCAAAAAACAGACTGAAATGTTTTGGGCAAGGACCTCTGTAGCTCTTTAATTCAACCTTCCATGTGAAATAGGGATGTCACTAATGCTAGATGAGGTTAGTTGTGGCTTTATCTAGCCAAGTAGTAAGGATGAGACCCCTGACCCCTCTGGGTTCTTGTCCCAGGGATGCACAGCCCTTCTAGTGAAAATATTTCACCAATGTCCATCCTGGCTGTCCTGCTTTCCCCGTTTGTGGCTGTTGCCCCTTGTCACACTATTTGCCACTACTGTGAAGAGTCTGCTTCCATCCTCTTTGCAGCTTCCTGTCCGACAGCTGCAGGTAGCGATCAGCCTCTGGGCTACCCCAGCCTGGCTCCCTCCCTAGGACGTGCCCCAGGGCTGAGACAGTGGTGGCAGTGCCTGTTCTCTGCCAGTGCCTCTCCAGTTCTCCACATCTCTTTTGAGTTGCACATGCTGTTCCAGTTGCAGCATCACCAGTACCTAGAAGAAGGGATATGAACTGTCCTCATTCTGCTGGCCACTCTCCTCTTAGCATAGTTTAGCTTTCCTTATTCAGAAGAGCACGCTGGCGACCTTCTCTGTTGAGAAAGGCCATAGTCAAACTGGTGCAGCTTTGCTGTTTGGTTGGGAAATTGGGGTATTTATTGCAGCTCTGCATACTGCAGTTGGGTGTCTGGCAGGGTTGGGGGGCGGGATTACAGGACATGCAAACAGCCAGTTCCTTCTGATAGTGGTGCAGGTTGTGTGCCTTGTCTGATGTGCATTCAACATGCTTTTGTGCACTGACCAGTTGTGATTGCCTGGCCCTTAAGGGCTGCCTGAGAAACCTCACACCTCCTTCCTTGCAGAAACCAGTGCCAGGTCTTACCTGTAAAGAAAACCCGACAACATTTACTTGTTAAACAACCCACAGTGAATAAAGGGAGCACCCAGAAACACATGTGATCTCTTTTTATAACATGAGTGACTCAGGCAGATGTTATGCCCATGACCTAAGTGATGCCAGTGCCACAGTACACACCTGGGGAAATCCCATGTGAAACCTGAGCAGAGCAATGCCAGAGCTGCTGCGCTGGCACTGCAGCAGCAAGAGGGAGTGGGTCCCCATGTGTCCGTCAACACTTTCTTCCCAGGCTGAAGGAGCACAAGAACCGAAGGGGGTTTATAATGCTGCAGAGAGGGCAAGGAAACTAACTGCCACAGCCTGGATGATTCTTCTGGCTAATGTTTCCCCATACGGAGACTCACACAGCAAAGCAATCCTCATCCTGTTGCTTTGCCCCCTGCAGCAAAGCTCCACCTCCAGCAGAAGCATTTGAACAAGCACTTGCTGCTCTGCTGGCTCCTGGGCCCTGTATCTGGAAGGAAATGAGAAGCCCAGAGAACAGATCTGCCAAGGGTGCTGACCCCCTTGCCAAGCCCAGACCACCTCTGTGACCCTGGCCCAGCAGCAGCTCTGCCCTGGGGCTGCTGCAGGTCAGGGCTACCCCAGCTCAGGCCTGTGAGGCACAAGGTGACACAGGAGTGTGACAAGCCCCTGGCCAGGACAGAGCCTCTGCCCTTGTTTCCCTACCACCGCCTGATCAAGGAAGGGCCACAGGGGTTGGTGTCAAGCTCCAGGGTGCAGCCGGGGCTTGTCTGAGCCATGTCACAAGTGCCAAGAGGGAAGTGAGTCACTCACCTGCGAGTGAGCGCAGCACCCTCCTTCCTACAGGAGCCGCTTCCCAGGCAGAAGCTCACTGACGGCTCGTCCCTGCTGGTGGCTCTGCTTGTGGCAGGGCCCTGGTGGGCTGGGGTCTGCTGGGTCAGGTGTTCTGTGGCCCCAAGGTAAGAAGTTCCTTTCCCTTCTGCTTGCTCTCCCAGGGTGCTGGCCTCCCTCCCTGAGCTCCACAGGTTCCTTCTGCATCTGGGTGTCTCGGGACACAGGCTGGATGCATGTCCCCCCCTGGATCTTTGAGCCATGGCATCTCAGACAGCTCCAAGGGCGTCAGAGCTATCATTGTCCTCTCCACCCAGGTGTGCTGGGAAGACCTGTGCTCACTCCCTGTGCCCAGCAAGCAGGGATGAGCTTCATGGCATGAGTCAGGCTAGCGCTGGTGCTGCCTTTGGGGCGGTGGGGATTCGGACTGCCCTTTGCTTGGGTGGCAACAATGACCCAGCTTTGCCTGAATGCTGCAAAGGGAGGTGAGGAGCCCTGTCATGGAACGTCCTCCTGTGAGGAAGAGGAGGAAATGCTCGGAGCCTCTCAAGGAATGCAGGTCCCTCATCCCACTGGCCATTGCCAGGCCGGGGGCAGGGGGACAGGGCAGAGCCTGTCCCGGGCAGAGGGCAGGCAGCTGCTGTCAGGAGGTGACTTGCTGCAGCGTGGAGCAAGCGGGAGCAGAGTGACCCAGCCATGGGCAGCTCAGCAAAGGCATGGTTTTCCCCTCTGGCAGAGCTATGACAGTCTGGGGCCGTGGCATACAAATCCCAATGCAGTGGCCCACAGAGCTCACCCCTCTGCCCAGTGTGGCAGGGCTGGACTTGGCCTCCACCTGCCAAAACCAGGCAGGGTCTGCCCTGTTCCCTGCTTCACCCACTGCCAGCAAGGCAGCCCGGCTCCCAGCAGTGACTTTTCCTGCCAGGCTGGATTATCCCAGCGGCACCACAGTGAGCAGCAGAAGCTGTGCCCTGCCTTTGTAGCTGTCAAATGGCTACCAGGAAGCATTGCTGCTCACTGCCTCAGAAAGCGTTGTCAGTCGCTGTGGTGGGTGTATTTCCCTGACAAGCAACCCAAGCCCCAGGGCACATTCCTGCAGAGTTGGTAATAAGGTGGGAACATGTTGTGCTGGGCTCTGAAATGCTCACAGGGGAAAACTACAGAGTTTATTTAGTATTTCTTTCTTGCAACAAGCAAAAGGAAATTGTGCAGAGGGTGCAAGATGAGTAGTGGAATCTCACAGGCAGTAATGCTTAGCATCAGATCATCAGCTGTTCTGGCTTGAAAGGGACTTCATGTCCTTTCAAATATCTGTCCTGGCACTCGAGAATGCATCCTGGTGACCAGGACTGACAGGGATCATGCTCACCTGTGTGCTGGTCCTGCGCGCTGCATGCACCACACACCTCTAAGCCTGGTGGCAGCGGCTGGTGGTTTCTCAAGCTTCATGTTGGTATTTCATCTCATCCTTGTTTACTGCTCTTGTCACTGAACAAGGCAGTTGACAGTGCACGCAGAGCCTGTTGGCTAAAATGCTGGTCCTCTGCACTCCATGGAGAGCTCTTCTCCGATAATACACTGTGGTTTTGCTCTTGGAAAGATCTCTCTGGATATTTGCTTATAGCACTGTATTTTCAAAACCAAGAGAGTTCCTGATACCTGCAAAATTTGTATGTGGTCATCAAAAGTGGGTATGTTGCCACGGAAACATGCCAGAGGCAGTCTGTGGGTACAAGGAGGCAGTGTGCATGTTTCATGGCAGCGTGCACTTGCCACGAGAGTGCTGATATGGTGCCAGAACCAAGGGGAACAGCCTGCTGCTTACCAACCAATTTGCATGAAGTTATCCCCAGAAAATATCATTTGGAAGAGCTGCTCCAGGATCCAGTATCCTGATATAACAAACTAAAGTACCATTAGTGCTACTTAACAGCATCACATGGGAATCAGTTATAGTAGAAGACATGGGGGGGGGGTTGGGTTATTAGATTGCAAATTTGCTTGATAAATGTAAAGCCACATTCAAGACTCTTTTTTTAAACTTGGCCTTGCATTCATTCAGTGTTGTCAGACTTTGTGTGCATCCCCCAAACTGGAAGAGTGCTAAGTAACACTGAGAACAGGGCACTCAAAAACTGTCACGACCACTTAATAAGCCAAGCCACTGCAAACAAAATGCATCTTAATACTGGATTCAAAGTCATGTACTTGGAAACAGGCAGCAGTCCCAGGAGAGCAGGGGTCTCCAGAACAGTCCCCAGGCTGGAAGGGGTGCAAGAAATGTGGGGGATAGTGGGATCTGTCAATGCAAAACAGACACGATGCAGTTCGGGGCTGAGGGGGGAAGGACTGTTCTCACCCTTTCACTATTGCTCTTGTACTGAGTGCTGAATCTGGGTCCCCGTCTACTTTTCATGCTTTAACTGCAACAGCTGAAAATGGAGATTATGTGGGAGGGAACTCCCCAACTAATTAATAGGAGGCCAAGTGCAAACCTGGCAAGAGGCCAATCTACATGACCAAGCAGTTCTTCTGGGAATTTCTGTGAATCTCAGTAGCTTGAGGCGTAACCTGTGCACTTGAGGCAAAGCTGAAAAATCAGTAAAACTGGAGAGCAGCGAAGAGGTACCGGCCAGCACGGATGTGGTCAGGTCCCAGCCGGAGCAGTTAGAGGTGTCCTGACTCCAGTGGGCATGCTTAAATCAGAAAGAAAAGCTTGTGTCCCGGCTAGAGCTTCCACCCATCAGGTCTCTTTGAGTCTTTCACCACCGAACTTGGTAGGTTTTTGTTGTTTGGTTCTCCGGGTTTACAAAATATCTTTTTTGCTGAACTTTGGTGACGTGTGTGTGCCTCATCGGGCAGAGCTGACACAGGGCTGAGCAGAGGAAGGATGAAGATTTCTAACAGTAGTTCCTCCCCAGCCCACAACCTCCTGGGTTTTCATTTCCTCTAAGAACTTGGCTGTGTCAGGACAGCAAGCTTTGTTTGGCCGTTGCTACAGCCTTTGCAAGCACTCCCCTTCCCTCAGTGATCAGACATCCTCACTGGCTGCTCTTCTCAAAGGCATGGACTGGCTGCCAGCCGATCTCATTAGCATGCTTTTATTTTGTTTTTAATTTAAGCTCCCAGAAGCAGTCTTACAGGCATACCTGGGGCTCTGTTTGTTCCATGAAGGGTCAGGTTCCGTGGTCCATCTTTACAGTGGCTGATGGGGAAGGGGGCAAGAGGGAGGACAGAGGGTGGCGGAGGGAAAGAGACTACCGCAGCTGCCAGCCCAGCACAGATCTGTAGCATCACCGCAGGAGCCTCATCTCACCCTTCAGGTCACCCTGGCGTGGCCTGAGAGAGATCCTGGCTGTTCCCTGGTCCCCTGCCCCCCACGGCCAGCCCCCCCCACAGCCCACCCCGCTGTGGCAGCGCAGGGCAGAGCAGGGTTTCCCACCCCACGCAGTGCTGTCGCTGCAGGGCTCCCTCGCACTGGGGGAGTTTGGGCCTCCGCTCGGCTCGGGTGGTTTCTGAGTCCCTTGGACACCCTGTGCTGTTGCTGTAGGGCACAAGGCTGATCCCGCGGCAGCTCGGGGCGCGTCCCAGCTGTGGTGCCCGTTGTGGTGTCCATGCAACACCGGGTGCTTTGGAGCGTCCCCCAAGCAGGGCACAGGGCAGCCGGACATCCTGGTTTGTGCAGCAGTTTGCTGAGCACTTGAGCAACGTCCTGCCAGGCTGGGTGCTCAGCTGGGGCTCCGGGTGGCTGCCAGGCAGCTGGGTGCACAGCCTGCCTCTGCTCACACCTGGGCACCGTGCTGACGGGCCAGGTGCCTCCCTCCACAGAGAAAGGCTGTCTGCATGCTCTGGAGAAGAGCCAGGGAGGAGCTGACTCAGGCAAAGAAGCCCAGATCAGTGCTGGAGCTTTGTCTGTCCCTGCCTGGGGACACCCAGCCACTGGCATGGACAGAGGGTGGGTTCTGGCACTGCGACGGCTGCCCCAACACTATGCAGCCCCTCGCCTCGAGATGCCTGAGGCCAGACAAGCCAAAGGTCAGCATCTCAGCAGAGCAGCGCTGCTGCCATCCACCTCGCCCCCTCTGTCAGCACCCCATCTCCTCAGCTCATGAGGAGGTTGGCACGTTGCAGCTCAGAGCCAGGGCTCACCAGTCCAACAGCAAAAGCATGACCTGAATGTGTGTGTCCTAGGGTCTGTGCCAGCTCCTGGCTCTTGGACAAGTTTGGCTGGTGCCCTCAACTGGTGTGGCCCAGGGGCACAACCCTCAGCCTGTCCCAGGTGGCTCTCCCAAGACATGGCACCACACCATGGGGATCTCTGGTGCTCCTCAGAGCATGGACATAGCCAGGGCCTACCACAGGCTGTTTGACGTAGATGGCATTTCTTGAGAAGAGCCAGGAGGGCCAGCCTTCCCAGCGGAGCACCAGCGTGGTCTGGTCTCTTCTGCTTCCACTTGGGCTCACGTTGTTCCTCAGTAGCCTTGTTCTACTGCGTTTCACGCTGAACCCAGTCACCAGACTCAGTGGTTCAGTTCCTGTTGGTGTCTGCAAGTGTGAGGTCTGTGCAGGGCATGGTGCAGATGCTCCAAGCTCACATCTGCAGTGTGTGCAGGTGTAAGACAGGGGTAAGAGCAGTGTCTGCATGGAGGGCATGTTAACTATCAGCATGGGAGCTACAAATTGGGACTTACATCTTAGCTGGGACCATGTGTACAGGTTTGCTTGTCACTGGTGTCTTCCTGAGCACCCCACCAATTTGCATCACTGTGGTCTTCAGGCTGCCACAAGTAATGGTGGTCATGATGTGAAGGTGGATGGCAGGAGGCACCTGCCATGCCATGGTATCTCAGTGTCCGTTGAAGGTCCCTGAGATAAAAGGAGACTTGGAATGGCTAGATTCCTGGGTCTGTTTAGCCCCAACACAAGTGTGAAGGAGACTCTGCTAGGGAATGATTCTGTCCATGGCATATATGAGTTTCCTGGCATTTTCTTTCCTCTAAGTTATTAAGTGAAAGTTCTTCTGGCTTCTGCCATTCATCTGTATGGAAGAAGGATGATGAAATGGTGTCTAATCCCAGATCTAACCAGGGACATGGAGTGAATTCCTATTCTGCCTTTAGAGGAAAATCCAAACTTTGTGCTCTTTCAGGATCATCAGAAAGATATATATTTTGAGGAAACAGCTTTAAGGACTTTCCAGATCTTTGCCTTTACAGCCTTTTTTTTTGTTGTTTTTTTCTCATTTCCTCTGAGCTGATGTCACACATTTCCTTTTCTCTGCAGTCACTCTGCAGTCATGCTGCAGTTGCTCCCATTCTGGTGTCCTCCTCTTGAGAGCTGACCGCATGGAGACCTTCCAGCCCCAGGTCAGAGAAAATAACACTTGGAAGAAGACCAAACAGCCTCGGTAAAACACTCATCACTGCTCTACTAAAGCTGAAAATGGACATATTGTGCTGAATCCTTTTGACTGTGGTAAGCAGAAAAATATACTTTATTAGAACTTTTCTTCTTGGAATATATTTTTGCTGATGGCATAGCTTATGTTAGCATGGTTTTTGCACCTTGCAGCCATGAGCCAGAAAATTCTCACTGAGAGCACGGCCCATGGGAGAGAGCGTAGACTGGGAGCAGAGTCCACAGTTGCCCCGGTCATGCTCTGCTGTGTAGCTGGTTACTTCCACCTTTAGTTCTGCATACAGTGGAGTTGATGATAGAACCCAGTTGGGATTATTGGCTGGAGTACTAGCGTACAAGGCAGTGGCTTGGGCTAGAGTTGCTGAGGATTTTGGTAATGCAGCCTGCTGCAGCAGAGACCTGGACCCACACTTGCCAGCCCACACCCTGACCACTGTGCCTGTTCTCCCTTCTGCTGGCACGGAGAATATGTACGTGTTTTATACAAAGGGGAACCGCTTCAACAGGAGAAGCTGCGTGAGAACCTCCATATGGTACTCCAGAGCCTAGGGCTTAGGGCATCTCACAAGCACACAGGAGATGTGAGCTCAAGTTCCTCAGGCTGAAGAGGGAAGTAGATATTGAGTAAATTTAGCGGGGAATGGTGCCATGATCTCTTCTAGCTGTATTTTGTAGAATATCTGGCTTGACAAGCGAGAAGGGAAAAACAAGTCTCTTGTGATTCCCTGAAGGACCTGGGCATCGGCACTGCCCAGACTACTCATGCAAAGACAGATGAGCTCCACCAAGTTCTGTTGGTACCAGGAAATGGCACTGCCATCTCCCACAGCCCACCTTTGCCAGAGATTTCTAGGCGACTTAAAAACGTAGAGCATGTCCTCGCATTCTTCTTTCCAAGTCGGATTGCAGCCCCTTAGCTCAAACCCATCTTTTGTGCAGGGCTTTGCAGTGGAGGCAGATGTGCAGTTTCTCTCTCCCTTTCACCCCATCTGCTAAATCTGGCAGCTGGTGAGCAGGCCTGGGGACCCCACCAGTAAAGCTCACCAGAGCTCCTGGGTGAAGTTTGGAGGCTGCCATGCCCATGGACAGCACCAGAAATTGAGGGGTGGATGGACAGTGACCCACAGCACAGACTAAAGGGACTTTGTGAATAACAGTTGTGCCTATGTATCGGATGTGGGCACTTCTCCTCATGAATTCTGCTAGTGGGATGCATAACCTTTCTCTTTGCCCTCCCCAACTCTTGGTATATTCAGGTTTGGTGCTACAGTGATAGAGCACCTTTCATTGCAGAGTCCATCCCCAAGCACCAGAACTATTTGCTGAAGTTGGCAGATAGTCAGAACAGTGGGCTTACTCTGCAGACTTCAAAAAACCTTAATTTCTCTAATGATCTTAGGTGATTAGGACTTTTTTTTTCTTATTCTAACATAAAAAAGGTGTATCAAACACAAAGCTCTCCACTACTTTCTCTTGCCCCTGTACAGCCTCATCCCTCCCCTGAATGTCTGCATCTGCAAGGTGCCCTCCTGAGCTGGGAGATGCAAACCCTTCCAACTGGTGCATGTCCTTACCAGGGATGGGCCCTCAGTGGATGGGAGAGCTGGGCTTAGACACGGACATTTATTTAAGACCATGTTGTGACAATATCACTTCTCATATATAGACAGTTCCATGAGATGACCAGTAGGACTTGCCCTGGGTCCTGCATGAATCAAAGGGAGAACAGGGAACAGAGCACGGGCCCCTGCCAGCTCTGGGACCTCTCCACAGGGCAGCAGGGAGTGACACGTCACTTCTCAGGGATGTGCCAGACCTCTGTGGCCAGACCCCATGGCGGCACAGCCCAGGCAATCCTCACCTCTGGGTTACCACCACCTGAACCAGCTCCTGCCTTTTAGAGGTCAGTGGGTTCTCAGCAGGGTGACAGAGATCAAGGTGAAAGAGAACAGATACATGTGTCACCTGGCCAACTACTAGTACTGCTACAGCTACTTGTTAATTTACATGGAACATGGCTGAAAGATTGAGTTTAAATACCCTAGGCTAAAGCCAAGGCATGAAGCAGAACCCCTATGGTCACAGACAGCTGAAGATGAAAGGCGGGGTTTGGCTTAGCAATGGCATCATACCAACCAGCTCATTTTAGGCTTTGTATTTTCAGGTAAGAAAAAAAGCTACGTCAGGAAATTCTGCTTCAGACGTGCCCAATCAGCATCATGATGTCTGGAAAGGGTAACAGTGGTACTGAAGGCAGTGCTGATTCCTACATTTCATGTCACATAGACTCTGAGTTTCGCTACAACCTCTTCACTGTTTTCTACAGCATCATTTTCATTCTGGGATTTGTTGCCAACTGCTACGTGCTCTGGATTTTCAGCCGTATTTACCCCATTAAAAAACTCAATGAAATCAAGATATTCATGGTGAACCTGACAGTAGCTGACCTGCTCTTCTTGGTTACGATGCCAATGTGGATTGTTTACTATCACCACCATGGAGACTGGATCATGCCCGAGTCCCTCTGTAATGTGGCTGGTTGTTTATTTTTTGTTAACACCTACTCCTCTGTTGCCTTTCTGATGGTCATCACATACAACCGTTACCAAGCTGTGACTAATCCCATTAAAGCTGCTCAGTTTACCACCCAGAGAAGGGGTATCTACTTATCAGCAGCTATCTGGATCATAATAGTGGGCAGCGCTCTGTATTACCTTTTTGACAATAATACTAATCAGGAGGAGGTTGATTCGAAGAATTTCACGAGGTGCTTTGAGCGCTATGACTCTTCTAGCAGTGTTTCAGCTGTTCTCGCCATTCATGTCATCATCTGCATCCTCTTCTATATCATTTTCCTTTTCATACTAGGCTGGAACATCATCATTATCAGGACCCTGTTCTCCAAATCAGTGCAGCCACGGAAGAGTACACAGGTCAAGCAAAGGGCGCTCTGGATGGTCTGCACGGTGCTGGCTGTATTCATCATAAGCTTTGTACCTCATCACATAGTGCACCTGCCCTGGACCCTGACTGTTCTGGAGCAGTGGAAGAAGGAAAATTGCCAGTTGCGCCAGCAACTCAATGATGCTCACCAGGTGACTTTGTGCCTCTTGAGTACGAACTGTGTGTTGGACCCTATCATCTACTGCTTCCTCACAAAGAAGTTCCAGAAGCATCTTTCAGAAAACCTGAAAAGCATGAAAGGCAGTCGCAAGTGCTCCAGGCAAACCACAGACACAGTGATTGAGGGCACCATTCACCAAGAGGATGCCATTAGGATCTAGTTCTGCACTGTTCTGACTGCAGATAGAGATGCATGAATTAGTTACTCATCTTTTCTCAAGAAGAGGCAGGGAGGGACACAACAGAAGACCAGGATTTCCTTTTTCCCATTAGACAAAAGAATGGACACTCATTTATTCGATCACATGCAACTGGCAGAACTGGAACCTGTAGTAATCTGGCAGAATGGCACCTTCTGTCTGGGCTGATGTTCTCATGGGCACTGAGAACAGCTCAGACAATCTGCTTTTACATGAAAGAAATGTGCCATTAGTCTCTGCAGTGAGCAGCTAGAAGTGCACTGGAATCACCCATTGTGTCAGCCCGGATAGCACCATCCCTGGTCCTTTGCCTGCCCAGCTCCCACAAAGAATCCAGTATCAGAGCTGTAAAACACTTCTAAAAGACCTGGAAGAACAGGCTGGGCTGCTAGTATCAAGTGACTTTTCTAAGCAGCTTGAATGGTTCTCTGAAGAGAGTCTGAGTTGAAGAAGCTCTTGAGTGACTAGAAGGGATGTAGACCGAGGAGTTCCTCAAATGCCATCAGAGATCTGCACCTGTGATCCCTTCTTACCTACCCACGTGGTCTGCTGGGGTCCATACCTGACAGCTGTCTGGGACTGTTATGAACTTTTGCCTTTGCTCCCAGCTCTTGAAACAGTCAAATAACTGGACTAGTGGACAAGAAGAGAAATTGGCAGTGCCTCAGTCCCCCTGCCCAGATCAGCATTATGTCCAAACGGGACAATTGTCTGCCCTGGCTTCTTGTATGATAGCAGAACTGGCAAACCAGTGGCCTCTTGCATTCAGTTTAGTAATTTTTGGCTGTCTGCATGTGTCTGTGGAAATCCAATCTCACTTTGGAGGCTCCAGATAACAGCAGATTATTGTCAGCACGGGCATTACGATAAAAAAAACCCAAACAAACAAACCAACCAAAACAAACAAAATGCTTAAGTATTGTTCTTATTTACTTAAATTAGGGTTGTAGCAAGCAACTGTACATTATTCCTTCCCTCAGCCATTCCGTTTCTGCTACAAAGAAATGAGGTTGATTAGTTCTTGCTATCCTACCACAAGTGAAGTATTAGGTCAGGTCGTGACCACTTTCTAAGTCAGTGCTGCACAGTGATAAGTACACCTGACAGATGTAATTCATGCACTCTGACAAGACTGAAGACTTCTCACTCAGGGCTGGCTACAGTCAGTTAGGGTCCAGGGCAAAGTGGTTTTCCACGGTTGCTGAGTTCTGTTACCAATCATGAAACACTTGAGGTTCTTTTTCTGACCCAAATTGCTCAATCCAGCACAGGAAATTGGGCAGGGAAGGGAAGGGAACTTACTTGCTTTCACAACAGTTTTTGGTTCCCTAAACTAACTAGCAGAGTCTGGTTGATGACAGAAGTGTATCATCTGACCTGTGACACTGATTATTCATATGCAAGGACAGCAGCCTCCCTACACCCACCAGAGAATGTGAAAGATAAGCTCAAATCTTTCCAAAGATAGGACCTATGTTTGTATCAGACTTTGCCTGTATTCAGTAGAGATATGGGTCCTTCAGATGAATCTCCTGAAGACAGTCAGGCAGCTTTTATGCTTACTTGTGTGAATGAGCAAAAAACCTAAGATGTTTCTTCTTCTCATGCCACTTGCCAAGGCCAGCCATGCACTCCCAGCCCCGAGCCAGGCAGAGGAAAGAATGTGATCACAATGTGAACGCATTTCCCTCCTGGTCCTGGACTCTGTTCCAGTAATGGCCACCCATAAGGAATACCTGCTGGCAACTCTTAGCAGAGAGGTAATTCCCTGACTATGTCCCTCAGCCATGTTTGCCCTGAATCTGCAGTCATCTAAGCCATAGCACACAGCAAAGAGGGTGATTTCTGTAATTTAAAAGCCTGAATCTTGCTTGCTGGAGGAATCAGCCCCTGTACTTCTGCCCTGCCCAGACGGCATGTTCTGGCCTAGGAGCTCTTGCAGCGGGCAGGGGGTGCAGCTCTCCCCTTTCCCCCCTGCCACCCTGCTTCACAGCCGCTAAAGCACTGAGCAGATGGAGTCTGGCAGAGGAAATGGAAAGGGATTTTACAAGGAAATCTGGTAAATGTGTGATCTTCTTTTGATTCCTGGAAAGCTTGCAAGAGAGTTTACAGCTTAGGCTACTTACTGTGGGTAAATAACACACTTTACTCCACAGAAAACAGCTGTAAGGCCAGTGTGGGCTCAGAGAACAAATGTAAACGTGCATCTATGGAAAAGGGTAAGTGGAAGAAAAAGCCCTGAGGACACTTCAGTAGGATATGCTGCAGTAATTAGGTCAGTAACAGTGCATTTCTAAAAACCAGTCTGAGCTTCTACTTCTGTTCCTGGAACTACTTTCTCAGTTTTACCGCAATGTTGCATTACTCTGCTTTACTTTGCAATAAAATGGATCCTCAGTTCTTTTAAATAAAGCATGTTCCCCAAGTGTTTTGCCCTTTAACTTCTTCCACCTTTTCAACTGACTGTATTTATACACAGGCCTTGTGCCCTGGTTACAGCTGGTATAGTGCTGTTCTGGATTTAGGATGAGAATAATGTTGATAGCACACTGATGTTTTAGTTGTTACTAAGCAGCGTTTACACCAAGTCAAAGACTTTTCAGCTTCTCACCCTGCCCTGCCTGTGAGGAAGCTGGGGGGCACAAGCAGTCGGGAGGAGACGCAGGCAGGACAGCTGACCCCAACTGGTCAAAGGGCTATTCCAGACCAGTCGGGCTCAGTCTGTAACTGGGGGAAACACTGGCTGAGGGTGAGGGCGGCTGCTCGGGAACTGGCTGGGCATCAGTCAGTTGGCGATGAGCAATTGCACTGTGCATCACTTGCTTTGTATATTCTAATTATTTCATCATTATTATTTTTCCTTCTTTTTCCATCCTGTTAAGATGTCTTTGTTTCAACGCACATTTTATTTTATTTTTTCTGGATTCTCTCCCCCACCCCACTGCGGGGCAGGGAATGAGCCAATGGCTGTGTGGTGTTTGGCTGCCTGCCAGGTTAAACCATGACAACGTTGTACCATGCTGACACAGCACGAATTTCTGATGTGTTATTTTTTTTTTTGGATCACCATGTTAAGTCTTGAGAGAGGTAAAATTAAAGGCTCAGCAAGTTTTGACCTAAATGGGAAGGGGAAAGAAATTATTCAAGAGAGGAAACAAATTCTGAAACATCTGCTAGAGCTCTGCAAAACCCGAGCAGGCAAAATCCCCCGAACTCTCCAACCTGCACTACATGGGAAATTTTCCACAGACACACCGCCACGCGGCTCTGACACTCCGGCTGAGAAGTGACAAACTATTTTAAATAACTCGCATTGCGACACCCCCAGCCACCGCAGAGCAGCGCGGAGGGCGGCCCTCCCTCGAGATCTAACACAGCCAAACGCCGCAGCCAGGCCGCAGCGGCTGCTGCCAGCCCAGCCGGGGCTGCCCAGGCCCCGCTCCCCCCCGCTCCCGCTCCCGCTCGGCCCCCACGGGCTCCCGTCTCCCTCTCCCGCCCCTCCCGTCCCCTCTTCCCCCACCCCCCCCTTCCCGTTCCCTCTCTCCCCTACTCCGTCTCCCACTCCCTCCCCCGCGCTCCCTCTCCCGTTCCCACTCCCCTCCGCTCTCCCCACCGCCCCCGCGCTCCCGTTCTCCCCTGCTCCATCTCCCGTTCCCTCTCCCCCCCCCTTCTCCTCCGCTTCATCTTCCTCTCCCCGCCACCCTCCCGCCGCGCCCGGCTCCCGCTCACCCGCCCCGCGGCCGCCGCGGTCCCGCCCCAGCCCGCGACGTCATTTCCGTCGCTGCGCGCTCTGCTTCCGGGCGGCGCTGCGGCGGGCGGGGGTCGCCGCTGCCATGTCCGCCGCGGGACGCGCTCCCGGGCCCGGCTCCGGAGCCGCCTCTCGGTAAGAGCCCGCTGAGGGAGGCCCGGCCCGCGCCCCGCGTCCGGCGCCGCCGCGGGGAGGGCGACCGAAGCGCGCTTCGCCCCGGCGCCGCTCCGCCTCCGCGGGCCGGGCCGGGGCTCGGCGGGCCCGAGCTCGGCGGCCGCGGGGGCGATGCGTGTGTGAAGCCCTGGTGGTGGTGGCGGTGGTGCTCGGCAGAGCTGGGAGGCAGCCGGGAGGTGCAGAAAGACACTCACCGCCTCCCCCAGCTCGGCTCGGGTAACGAGGAGTGGTTTGTGCGAGGGAGCCGGGAAGAAGAGCTCGCCCTGGGAAGCGCCCAGGGCGGGGGGGCTGTTTCCGGCGCCAGCAGTGGTGGGTGGCCCCAGCTGAGGGCAGCCCTGCTCAGACTGCGGTGGCTTTGCGAGGAGACACTTAAAACACATCTGCACTCCTTAGGCATTGGATGAGTTTAGTCGCCACACTGGAGCTTGTGCAAACATGTCCAGGAGGATGCGTTTGGGCTTGGCAGAGCCACAGTCACTTGGGCTTCCCAGGCTGTGTTGGATCCAGGTCAGCTCTGCCAGACGTTACCGGTTCTGGGAGCGCTGCGCACAGCTGCTGAAGTCTTACGTGGAGCCAGCTCGAGCACAGCATGCCGTATTAGTTTGGTTTCCGCACCACATGGTGCGGCTGATTGTCTCCAGACTACGGCTAGTCCTTGTTACATCATAGATGCAATCATTGTCATGGAGAATCATACAAAAAAGTCTTGGTGGACTTTGCTTTCAGTGTGGAGCTAGCTCTGCTTCCGTGATGCACTTAATCTGTAGTATAGTAACTTCCAACTGGTAATTAAAAGTCAACCATACTGATTAAGATAAGATTTTACAGTTATCATTGTCTGCCTCTATTTGGTTTCCTTCAATTTTGTCTGTCGTGGAGTATCTTAAATTCATGATAGTGAATAAGATAGGCTTTGTTGAGAATCATGGCAATTCATGTGCCTCAAGTCACTGTTTTCATAATAAGCTCCTTTTAAAAATGCATGAAGATAGTGGCTTCCTCATCCCATGAAACCACTGACCTGTCAGACTGTACCTATCACATTCTGGGTTTTTTCTTATCACCTGCTTCTTACTTGTGCAGTTCTGCAATCCAGTTTTTGCCATGCAAACAATGACATGCAGGTACATACTCACTGCTCTGTCTTAAAGGTGGCTGAGGTTAAGGTCTCACAGTTTACAAGCTGTTAGAATTACCGCACAGTGTCTTTCTGCAGCTTTCGCTTCCCTCTCAGCTCTTCCATGCAGCCTCAGCAGCAGTTACGGCGCCTTGGTAACTGTGTTGTTGGGTTGTGTGACAAATTTGATTGAAACACCATGACTTGCACATCACAGATATATGCAATAGCTGTAATAATTCCAGCGTAATTGGTGACTTTAGAAGGATTTCTAACTTCTTAAAACCTTGCCTTCTAAATAGTTGAATGAGTTTTGAATTTAACTGTGCCAGAGTGTACTTTATTAAGTGGGTTTCCATGTTCTATGTTAATGAGTTGGAGTACCTCTACAGCAGATTAATGTATGATGTCCTAACTTGTGTGTACCAAAGGGTAGTTATATATGACTAAACATAAAAATGGATAAAATATACAGGAATATTTTAATTGAATGAAAGCCTAGCAAGTAGTGTGTTCCCATGTGTAAGTCATGTTATACGTAAAGATTCAAGGCTTGAAGTAGGTAATAGGCCACTGTGGACATGAGTAACTCAGTGCCTATATTTTTAGTTACCAGCAGTAGCATTTCTTTTTTTTTTATCTTCTTCACAAGTCTGTGTTGTTTTTTTTTTTTTTTTCCTGAAAGGTGCTCCTAGAAAATGGGTGTTTGTTAAAACTTGTACTGGGTGTGCAAAATCTTGTGGTCGAAAATGGAGCTGTCAGGATGGAGATGTACAGGAAACTTTTGAGGCCTTAAATGGAATCATGTCAGGATTTAACAACTGGTAGGTTATGTGTGATCTTGCACCAAGCAGTATCTACAGACAGCCCACCTCCAGACAACATTATATTTTGCAGTGGTTTCTGAGTGTTTTTTTCACCTAAACCATGACCAGTGGCACACACTGGTTGGTTGTAAGTTGAGGAAGGTCTTTTTCAGCTTTTTCTCTTTGTCTTATTCTTAATTTATTCTCTTTCTTTCTTCCTAATTTGTCTGGAATTTTTTCCTTTAATTGGTTAAAGGGCAGCAAAACAAGTATCTTTTCAGCAGTGTTCTTCTCTCTGGTGGCCCCTCTCTAGCACTGATTCAGGGATAGTTCATACAGATGCTATGACTGGAGGGACTCCAGTACCTGAAGGAGTAACTTCAAATCCTTTTTTCCTTCTTGCAGCCGCTTCCAGAGCTTCAGCGAAGGTGGTGCTGCACGGGTTCAGATCTCCTCCTAATGTGTTACCCAAACCTGATGTTTAGGAGAGTGCTGTGGGCAGAAAACACAGCATGTCATAGCAGGCTCTTCAGTGTACGGTGTCAATTTGATCCACACCACACCAGTCACTGCTGCCTTGTCTTTGCCAGGTTGTCACCAATCAGTCCCATAACTGGGCAATATAACTAGAAAACAAGCTTTGTATTTACAGAAATAAATCAGTATTGTGATGAAGCTGATTGGAAACTGTTTTCATCTCTTAAATAAACTTTTGGGGTTAAAGGTATGGCTAATCTAATTTCTGAGGTGATTGAACAGTTCTTTAGTTCTGTAGAAGATGGGTCCCTCCTGAGTTGAGACTTGACTACAGAGCAGTTCTCACATCCCAAGAGCTTCCTTCTGAGTCTTGAATTTTTCATTGTTTGTGTTTGAATACTGACAGTGTTGTATCTCTGAGAGTCACCAACTGGAATATAACATCAAGTGTATGGCAGCTTTAAACTTAGGGTGATGGTTCATATTTCCATGAATATTGTACTATCATATGTAATTCCATTTTGAAGATTTTACAAATCAGCCTCATGTGAATGTATTTCTATGACAATTTTTTTGCCCTATTCTACTTGAGAGAGCTTAAGAAATTCTTCCATAAATATGATTGATTTAAGATGATCAGGGTAGAAAAATGCATATTCAGGACCAGGGTCATTTGCAAAAGTAGGTGATGATTTATTCTTCAGAGCAGAAAACAAAGTGGCAGCTCTTTTCAAAGCCATGTGGAAATATTCTGAAATAGGCTCAATCACTGCTTTCCTATCAAAATTACCCTGTGCTGCTTTTTTGTAAAGACATAGTTGTTCTTATATGCCAGTTGGGGAAAATGCTGTTCCAGAAGACAACGCTGTTGGTTCAAGGCTTTGAAGTTTAACACAGAAGTCTGGTCCCATTTGCAATACATCTGATGTTTTCTTCAATACCTTTATAATAGCTCTTGAAATTTCAAAAACTGTTGCCTTGATTATTTAGTGTACTTTAAATCTCCATCTCCTGTCCATCCAGATCTTTTGGGGTATAGCGAGGGGAGCTGTCCTTTCTAGAAGATAAAGGGTCAAAGATAACAGGGACTACTTTTTTTTCTT